CCTTTTCAAGGCCCATACTGCTTTATTTTTACAAGGCCTGAGGCCTATATCGGGTAAAGGCCCTTTTATTAAAGAAAAAAAGAAAAAAAGAAAAAAAGAAAACAAGAAAAAATATGTTGATCTGTAGGATGTGTTATTTGTTTTGTGGCAATTGGATTATCTGTGGGATGTGTCATTTGCTTTGTTTGACTGATAGGCTTTCTTTCAATTGGATTATCTGTGGGATGTGTCATTTGCTTTGTTTGACTGATAGGCTTTCTTTCCCTGTGAGGTTTGGTTTCCTCCTCCTTTTCTTTACCTCATTTTTGCCTTTTGGCTGCGTGCAAGTGGGTCCTTGTGACACACGGGGATGGATGGGGGCAGCCAGCGCTCAACCTGTCATCCACGTGACTGGCCTTGTACGTAAGAGGTGATGAACAGGTGGGGCTTTCCTTCCTTCCTTCTTTTCCTTTTCTTGTTTTGTCTCTTTCCGCCTTTGCGCTCCGATTTACATTGTGACGATATGTATTATTTATATATGTGACGAGGTTGCTTGCCTGAATCGTCTTCGTCCTATGGATCGGCGGGAGGGCTGCTACCGTACCGTCGCCCGCATTCTTATGATACTTGTCCTATCTGTCGTGAGGGTCTTACTCAGACGTACCTTGCACCTTCACAAGAAGGCGCAGGTGCGCTGAAAAGAGTGTTCAGAAGTGGAAGACCCTTCACTAAAACTGCAATATAGTGAAAGAAGATTGCAGTGAAAGAAAGAAGAAGTTAGCGTCATGCTACTTTGTTTGTACCCTGCACCCCCTAACACCCTCAAAGAAAAAGTCAGAAGGGTGAAAATGAAAATGAGAATAAAAAGTAAAGAAGGAAGTGCAGGTGCGGTGAAAAGCGAACGTGGTAGACCCGTCACCAAAACTGCAAAACTGTGAAAGAAAGAAGAATACTACAGGAAAAGAAATAAGAATTGATGTCACCACCTTCCCTTCGCCTATGGGTTTTTCTTTTGCCCCTCTTCCTCCTTGTGTCTAACACCTTTCCCTTTAGTGTGCCTCTTTCCCACAGCTTGCAAGTGGGGGCTGTTATGGCATAGGGGGATGGGGGCAGCTACCGGTAGCGCTGAACTTCATCAACGTGGCGAGCCTTGTACGGGAGAGGTGGAGTCGAGGAGGAGTTAAGAAGACTGAAAAATTGAATGATTTCAATGTGTCTTTGGTTTTTGGTTTATAACCTTTGTGCAGTGTAAAAAAAAGTGTAAAACACTGAAAGTAATAAGAATAGACTAAAACTGTAAAACAATAAAACAATAGTGAGAAACAGAGGCCATAGACTGTGCTTCGTACATGCTTCGAGAACAAGTTCCCTAACGAGTGCCTGGTGCACGTCCATGCTCAACCGCATGCACTGAGCTCAGAAGAAGAAACGCGCTCATTACCCTACGCACGTTTCAGCCAGGAAGCGCACCGGGCACTCATCAGGGGCCTTCTCCCCGGATGTGCCTTACGGCACCCACCTACTTGTCCAGCCACTGACCAAGGAGGGCCGACGGCCTTGACCTCAAATTAATAAAGATTGCCTACCTATGCCTAGACCCTCCGTGCGGCGTTGTCGTCCTACCCAGTAGGCAGCTACCAGCCAGCATTGTGTCACAACAATTTGAAATTTGCCCGCGTCGTTGATGATGTGTCAAAGCTTTTTCCCGCCTGCAGATACCCTGAAGTAGGGCGGGTACTGGCCAGTAGAAGATGACTCTAGGGCGGGAATTTCCGGGGAAATACGGAAATCCTAGGTACTACCATCTAAAGGGGTACTACAAATTTCAAATTACAGGCGATACGGGCTGATAGCTATTTCTCGAAAATTCTTTCCAAGCCTGCTAACAATTCCCGCGCCCAGATCCAGTACCTGTGTGCCGGTATTTGAATAGGACTAAATCATGCCCGAACGTCCAGGCTGGACCCTACTCCGCTGCTATCACAAAGACCATGCTATTCACAACAACTGGCACTATATACGTGTCAGCTGCCGGTCTGTAAAGTGCTACCCCATCATTCGTTGAAATTCGAATTGCCCAGCTTCAAACTTTCATTTCTTTCCCGCCCGTACACTTCACACCCTTGTCTGTCTCTTTGCTTGTCTGTCTTTTTATTTTTTCTCTTCTTCGCTCATCTTACTTATTTCTTCTTCTGCTTCATGTGCTTGCACTCTTAGTCAATAGTTCTGTGACAATATATATATGTCGGGCAGTCGTTGATGCTTAACCACAGCCGGGGTTAAGGTGGATTATCACTTACAGTGTAATCAGTTAGGGGATTCTGCAGACTGTTGAGGGTTCAGCCTCCTGATGAGTCGGTGAAACTCCGACGAAACAGTTTGCCACAGCCCCTCGTTTGTTGTCCTCTTCTCCCTCTCTGCCTACGGTTTACCGGGCAGCTCTGTTTGACTATATATATATATATACCACGTGGCTGGCCTTGTACGTAAGAGGTGATGAACAGGTGGGGCTTACCTTCCTTCCCTGTTTTGCCTTTTTCCGCCTTCCTGACTTTTTTTTCTTTCCCTTCCTTGTTCTGCTTTCCCTTCCTTGTTTTGCTTTTTTCCGCCTTTGCGCTCCGATTCACAGTGTGACAATATATATTATTCATGTATATTTATTGATATATAATAACATTATAAGATTAGAGTGACATAACTGCCGAAGGGAAGGGTGAGGAACTGGGGGAAGGTTTGCCAAACATTCGCCGGAGTTTCACCCGTTATAAGATTAGACTCTGCCTGGTAAATGGAAGCCAGAAGGGCAGAAAAGGGCGAGGAACCAGGGGAAGTTTCGCCGTAGTTTCGCCGAAGTTTCACCTACTCAACGCTTCCTTGCAGTCTGCAGAGGTCCTCGAATCGATGATACTGTTTAAGTGGACAAGTGGAGAGATAAGATAACCCACCCTAACCCCTGTTGTAGGTAGGGTTAATCCCAACACTTCTCGGACCCTTGATAGCCCCCCAAGGTGGGCATTGACGAATGCCTTCTAGGGCGGGAAGAGAGAGAGAGAGAGAGAGAGAGAGAGAGAGAGAGAGAGAGAGAGAGAGAGAGAGAGAGAGAGAGAGAGAGAGAGAGAGGGAGGATTTAATATATTGGTGCATTTTGACATTGTGAAGACTGCCCAAAGGGATTTCGTTCCATGGTAAAAACAACAACAACAACAGGGCTTTGAGTGATATCAACCACGGTAACTTTCTTATCGCTTGGCGGGGTGCACCTAACAGGACACGTGGCCCAGATGCACGCTCAGTTGCGCAACAACTTTAAAAGAAAACAAGAACTGACGTCCAACTTTCAAGTGTCAACGTCTTTATTTTCTTTTCTTTTTTTTCTTTTTTCTTTTTTTCAAATGACAAAGCCAGTCCGACTTTAAAAGGAGGGGTGATATGAGCAGCCCCGCCTACCATAGCAGCCTTTCTGGTTGCTGCAATCTATTGGTGGGGGAGCTGCACCTGCTGGAAATCGTTGGGTCCAGCGTCCCTTTGATAACATCTTCTTAGTTGCTGAATTATGCAGAAAAAAATACAGAAATGCAGAAAATGTCGAAAAGCAGGAAACGTAGGAACTACAATTGCTACGCCTGCTGTCCTTTGGGATTTTAGACTGACTGACTGACTGACTAAGTGATTGACGAAAAAGTCCAGTCCGAGAACTGGCTGCAGACAAACAGTAGACATACTCGAGGCAGATGAGAGACACTGATGGAAGGTCGACATCCTTGCTACTGAGACAGATGGAAGAACAGCAGACTGCAGGGTCCGAATAGAAAGGATTTAAGACTGTATATAGATAGATAGATAGATAGATAGATAGATAGATAGATAGATAGATAGGTAGATAGATAGATAGAGGGATATGGCCTGCGTAATTTGGACACGGCTGCAACCGGATTTAAGACTATATATATTCCCCCTGTTTTGTTATATTTGGCTGTTCCCTTCCTCTTTCTTTGCCTCTTTGCCTTTTGGCTGTGTGCAAGGTGGGGGCAGCCGCCGCTTAACGTACATCCACATGCGCGGCCGTGTACGCAAGAGGTTCTGAACAGGGGGAGTTGTAAGGAAGAAGGTTCAAAAAACGAATTCATTTTTTCGGAAATTTTTCCTTGTTTTCTTTCTTTTTCTTTTTTTTTCACTTTTGCGCTCTGATATTCTTGTGACAATATATATATGAACCCCGCTTAGTTCGGACACCGCTGCAACCGACACAGAAGCTGGGCATCCGTTCCTCTCAAAAAACTTCTTAACCGCGAGCACACGGCCCTGGCCGATTTTCCCACCGTGGTGTTCGAGCCCCGCAGCCCTGTGTCAGAGGCTCGGCCTACCGGACCACAGCCCCGTGTCAGAGGTTCTTAACCGCGAGCACACGGCCCCAGCCGATTTTCCCACCGCAGTGTTCGAGTCCCACAGCCCCGCGTCGGAGGCTCGGCCTACCAGACCACAGCCCCGCGTCGGAGGCTCTTAACCGCGAGTACACGCCCCCAGCCGATTTTCCCACCGCGGTGTTAAAGTCCCACAGCCCCGCGTCCCAATCGCCTTGCTGAAAAAGTAACTGGTCACCCGAATACAACGCCACACGGTCATTATAGCTGTGTTTGGGGCAACTTTTAGTATAGCTGCATTTTGGGGTAACTTTCAGTATGACTGTATTTGAGGAACCGCTGTGAAAGATAGACTTTTGCTCTTGCCTGATCTAATAGTCTGCTGGGCTATTCTGCCCACCTGTTTCCAGAGCCTGCTGTCTTCACACAAACACATCAGTATGGCTGTAATTGAGGTAAACTGTAGCTGCATTTTGGGGTAACTTTCAGTATGGCTGTATTTGAGGTATAACTGTCAGTCTAGACACCACGATAATGATGGTGCATTCTGTATTCCGGTGAAGGCGATCCGTGGTGGTCCCCGGTCTTGTTGTGCACTTTCGAGGAACTGCTGGTGTGGGGTGACTGAGGAAATGAAAAATGGTGGTAATGGCTGTACAGATGATGTTGGGAGCACTGGATGCGGAAGCACGGATGGTTCTCGGCGGTGAGGGACGGGCCAAGAACTCCACGCTGGTGAGTCTTCAGTATTCTCCACCTTTAGTTGTGCGACATCATCTCGTTCAAATTGTTGCTGTCGTTTTTGTCTTTGTCAGTTTGTCTCTGTCACTCACTTGGCTGGGTGACACTGATTGCTGCTCCTGTCTCTGTCATGTTGTCTCTGTCTCATTGTCTCTGGTTTGGCTGGGTGACACTGATTCTCCTCCTCCTGCCACTCGCTCAGTCTTTGTCATCATTGTTGACGATAGAGAGTGAGATTCTTAAGTTCTTAACTGACTTTTTTGTTTCTTTTTTCCGTTTGCGGTTAGAGATGTGTGTGTGTGTGTGTGTGTGTGTGTGTGTGTGTGTGTGTGTGTGTGTGTGCGTGTGTGTGTGTGTGTGTGACACACACACACACACACACA